TGTGGGGGAGCCTATTGATTAATGGGGGTATGCAGTCGGGGGTGGGCGCGGGTTCCGAGCCTCCTGGGAATTAAAGCAGGAGATTAGGGGGACGGAGAGTTTTTTTTCAGATTTTTATGGCATGTCGGCGGTGGGGCATGCTCCCACGCTACATGTTCGAGAGGGGTACACAGACATAGTGGTGGTCGACTCNGATGAAGCGTTGTCAATGCCAAGGCACTTATAGGCGGGTTAAGTGGAACAGGCCATAATGTCAACAAAATCAGAGAGACGAATCTACATGCAAATCAGCTTNGCNTATCGGGTTGGTTGGTCACGCCGTCGTTGTTGGGATTTAAATTATTGGCGAACCGCTCTGCTTTAGTCGCCGCAAAGGTGGTGTCCCCGTAAGCCAGCTGCGGGCACGGACGGCCGAACGGTGCCCGTGGCGCGCGTGAAGCTGAAGCTGCTCCCGGTGGTGCGCGAGGGCGACGGCGCTCTTCGCCCCCCCCTCCTTCCCCGCCGCCGCATCTAGCGCCGGCCACCAACTCGTCGTACATATGAGACAGAGAGAGATTGAGAGGAATAGGGGAAGAGAGAGAGATTGAGAGGAAAGTGGGGAAGAGAGACAGGTGGGAGAGTATGATAGGCGGGTTTCACTAATTTTTTATTAGAAAAACGCTGACTAGGATGCCACGTGTATGCCACGTAGACCAAAACCACCGCGGATTGAGTCGAGGGGGGTAATTCGTCCGGTTTGCATAGTTGGGGGTGAAGAATATCCGGTTTATGGTTCAGGGGGTAATTCGGACGACCGCGATAGTTCGGGAGGTAATTCATACTTTTTTGTTTAAGTATTATATTTCATTGATCCCATAACATAGCAACATATAATCGGATAGGTTGTTATATTATGATATGGGGGAGTAGTTATTAAAAAAATTATAATACCATATATTAAATGATAGATGGTTAAAAAATAAAAATATTGTTGAGATTATGGTACTGAGCAAAATTAAATGAGAGATTGTTAGTGACAAAAGTAATAATTTAGTATAATTTTATCGGAAATGTTTATAATTTGAAATGGAATGAGTGGCATCTCTCAATTTTGGATATTATTGTTTTCTTTCTCTAATATGGTGTGGTATCTCATACCATGTTACTCCCTCTATTTTATATTATAAGTCATTTGATTTTTTTCTTAATCTTAGTCAAAGTTTTACAAGTTTGACCAAGTTTATAAAAAAAATTAGCAACATCCACGATACCAAAGTAGTTTCATTAAATTTAATATTGGATATATTTTAATATTATGTTTGTTTTGTATTAGAAATATTGGTATATTTTTCTACAAACTTAATCAAATTTTAAAATGTTTGACTAAGAAAAAGGTAAAACGGTTTATAATATGAAACAGAGAGAGTAGTTTAATGAGATGCAATCCAAAGAAAATGAAATGATGGAAATGATATCTCAAAGTTTATCAACATAACGGCATTAAATTGATCCTAAATCGATCTTAGGAGATTACTTTTTTTTCGAGGAAGGATCTTAGAGCATCTCCAGCAATAGCTCCTATTTTACAGCCCCTAAAAATTTAATGGGGGCTTCCCCTATTTTCTAAATACCTAAAAAATACCTTTAACTCCAGCAGCAATCCCTTTTCTCGCCCTTTATTTCATTTCATCTTCTATTTTAACATATACTTTAAAGTACAAATCTATAGTTCTATACTCTACGCTACTCCTAGTATAAAACCATAATAATCCAACCATATTTAAATTCACAATTCAAATTCGATTCTTTTAAAAAAATAAAATGGAAATACAAATCCTAGTAGCACGTATTCATAGCTCGGGTGAAACGAGCTTCTGCTGTTGTGGCGCTTCCATGCATTTTCTCACATGTGTTGATTTTTCCCGTCTTCTCATCCACCAATAGACCAGCTACTTCTCTCACGAAGCAACAACCAAGCAAAGCAACAAAAAAAACTGCATAGCACATCGCATGTATCACTTTACCCATTCTTCTAAGTCCCACAATCGCAGCTGCTAGTGCTACCCTGCTACTACTTTCTCAATTTCGCAGCCTGCAACAACACTTGAATCATCCAGTGCCTCGACGCCATCGCATGACTCGGCCACTGGGCCATGTTTTTCATCGAGTTCAGGCAGAGGGTGCAGGCTAGAGGAGACTCCAGGTACAGCAGACGCGTCGGCCGGGAAGGAGCGTCGGGTAGAGGAATGCACCTGAGGGATGACACGGTAGGCAGGGAGGAGCCGCACCGGCCGGGGATGAGCACTGGGTAGGAGAGGTGCCGGCGGACCAAGACCACGTCGGGCGGCTCCCGCGCTTTTCCAACCGTGGATAGGGGCTGTGCAGTAGAGCCCCTGAGACTGGGGGCTAGGAAAGGTTATTTGGGTGCCTACCTAATTTAGGATCCTTGATAGGGGCTCTGCTGGATTGAGTTTTTTTAGTCTCAACACCCAAAATCTGTTTAGGGGTTATATTTAGTGTTTCTGCTGGAGATGCTGTTAGGAGATTTCTCTACGATATATTCCAGTGAGCATTTTTCGCTTGCTTGCCTCACATCAATCGCTAATCAAGTACATTTTGTCTCAAGGCATCAACCTAAACGGACCACATTTGTACGATTGAGCAAGTGACGAATTCCTGAAAGGACGGGTCCATTAACTGAAACCCCGTTGCCATCTTCTCGCCGTTTAAGAGAGAAAGGGGGTGGTGTGCTACGCGTTTATATGTTTTACCCGGAATGAGAGAGATCATTTCATATGTGAAAAGAACGCAGGTTAGTGCGATTTGGGTAGTGTCTCCCTTCATCGTTCACGGCGGTAGGTAAGGAGATACCTCGATGTGATGCCTTATCGATGGCTAAGAATATGTTTTTAGTTTTCGTCTCGTGTAGGACAGTCAAACTCGTTCATTAAAAAAAACAGTTGGTTCCCCATAGTGAAGGTTCTACCTAATAAGTCGTCTAACTTATCCGCTTACGTCATACGCCATAGAGCTGTATTTATGTTATATACAGTGTGAAAGGGGTCCCCTATATTATGATGTTGTTTAGTCGTCTGATTTTACTAAATAAGTTTTTCTTTTAAAAAGTTTTAGAGCTTCTAATCTACTTAAAAAATGTGTTTAGACCAAGATTGTAGGTAATTTCACAAGAATAAAATGTGATCTCGTAACAACATTTTTGTTGAATGGACGAAACGAAAACATATATTTGTACGAGTCCCTAATTAACTTCTAACTTGCTACTAGATAAAATAGGGCTACATCATATATTTATAGTATTGCGAAAGGCTTTACATCCTTAAGCAACAAATAAATTAATGCGTAAATGCTTCATATCGAAAGCTACAAATTTAACATTTCAACTTAATATTTTTAGCTAGCCTTTTACCATCGTGGTTTACAGGCCAGTAGCTTTTCAGCCGAAAAAAAGGTCAAAGATAAAGTTTTTGTTCTAATACATAAAAGCAAAAATAGAGAGAAAAGTCCACATTTAGTACTCGTTCAACTATAGCCTTGATTTTTTTTCACTTAAATACGAAGTCATCTCTTAACACTCAAAACCATTCATATTTTACCGTAGATCCTAAGCAAACGTGGTTTTTCC